CATGACTATCCTTCTGGCCTGTTCTGCCGTTCAATAAGATCATGGCTGATCAGATTTTAACCTCAACGCTACATTCTGGCGTATCCCCGATAATCTTTCATCCTCTTGGTAATCAACAATCTATCTGCCTATGCCTTAAAAAGACATTAAATATTCTGCAACTCCTGCCTTTTGAAGAAGGGAGTTCCAAAGATTTGCAACCCTTAGAGACAAAAAACCTCATTTGTCTTAAATAGGTTACACTTTAGTTTTAAACTATGGGGACAGCATGGTGACTCAGTGGTTATCTGTGCTGCCTCACAGCACCACGGACCTGCATTTGATTCTGCTCTTAATATTGAGTCTGGACGGCTGCTGGGTCCCCAAGCGGAAAATGAGGTGTTGTTCTTCCAGCTTGCATTGAGCTTTGCTGGAACACTGCAGCATGACAGAGACAGAGATGTTGGCAAGGGAATAGGGTGGTGTGTTAAAGTGGTAGGCAACTGGAAACTCAGGGTCTTTCTTGCAAGCCGAACATGGATGTTCTGCAAAGCAGTCACCCAGTCTATGCTTTGTTTCCCCAATGTAGAGGAGACCACATTATGAGCAGCAAATGCAGTAGACTAGATTCTGGAAAGTGCAGGTGCAGTGTTGCTTCACTTGAAAGGTATGTTTGGGCCCTTCAATAGTGGGAAGGGAGGAGGTAAATGGGCAGGTATTGCACCTACGCTGGTTGCAGGGGAAGGTGCTGTGGGGGTTGTTGGGGGTAAAGGAAGTGTGGACCAGAGTGTCCTGGAGGGAACAGTCCCTACAGAAGACGGACAAGGAAGGGGAGGGGAATATGTGTCTGGTGATGGTATCTCACTGGAGGTGGTTGAAATGGCGTCTGATGATCTTCTGGATGTGGATGCTGGTGGGATGGTAAGGACAAGGGGAACCCTATCGCTGTTGCGGGAGGGAAGAGAGGAGATGAGGGCGGAAGTGCGGGAGATGGGTCTGTGGGAGGTGGGAGACCCATTTGAGGGCCTTGTCGACAACGGTGCTGGGGAATCCTCGGTTGAGAAAGAAGGTGGACATTTTGGAGGCTCCCTTGTTGAAGTTGGCCTCTTCTGAGCAAAAGGGACGGTGACGGAGAAACTGAGAGAATGGGATGGAGTCTTTATAGGAAGCAGGGTGTGAGGATGTATAGTCCAGGTAGCTGTGAGAATCACTGGGTTTACAGTGGATATTAGCCCCAGAAATGGAAACAGAGATGTCGAGGAAAGGAAGGGAGGAGTCAGAGATAGACCAGGTGAAAGTGAGGGCAGGGTTGAAATTGGAAGCGAAATCGAAGAACTTTTCCAATTCCGGATGAGAGAGGGAAGTAGCACCAATGATATCATTGATATATCAGAGAAAGAGTAATGGGTGGGGGCCGGAATAGGACTGGAACAAGGAATGTTCCACGTATCCCCTGAAGAGACAGGCCTAACTGGGGCCCATACAGGTACCCATGGCCACCCCTCTGACCTGAAGAAATTGGGAGGAGTTAAAAGAGAAGTTGTTGAGGGTGAGGACGAGCTCCGCTTCTTCTGGACCAAAGACCTGAACCGTCCCCTCCCTCCACCACCCTCCTCTGCTCGGCCGAGCTCATCTAGAGGTTTGCAAATGACATGAGAATTGATAGGGTAGTTAATAGTGAGGAAGATAGCTATAGGACATCACCTGGTTAGATGTGCAGAGAAATAGCAAATGAAATTTAACCTGGAGAGATGTGAGGTAATACATTCTGGACTGCTAACAAGGCAAGGGATCACACTCTAAATGGCAGGACTCAGGAAAGTCCTGAATATCAAAGGGACCTTGCTGTGCATATCCACATATCCATGAATGAAGCAGTGGCAAGTGGAGAAGGTGATTAAGAAAGCATATGGGATACTTTATTAGCCCAGGCATAGAAGACATGTGGGAGCTACATAAAATGGTGATTAAACTGCAACTGGAGTACTGAGTGCAGTTCTGGTTGTCATATGATATTGAAAGATGTGATTGCAGTAAAAAGGGTGCAGAGGATATTGATGCTGCCTGGGCTGAAAGGTCTGTGTAACGAGGAAATATTGGATTGACTGCGGTTGTTTTCCACAATGTTGGGTAAATGCTAATGTTGTAGCTGTACTGCAACAGTTTTGATGGGAAATGGCTAGTTCTGGAGCACATGTTTTCAGTACTATTGTCAGAATGTTGTCAGAACCCGTAACCATTGCAGTATCAAGTGTCTTTAGCTGTTTCTCGATATCATGTGGAGTGAATCAAACTGTCTGAAGACTGGCATTTGGGGAGCTTAGGAAGAAGTTGAGATGGATCATCCACTCAGCACTTCTGGCTGAAATAGATGCAAATACCTCAGCCTTTTCTTTTGGACTGATGCACTGAGTTCTCCCAACATTGAGCATGGGATAGTTGTGGAGCCGTTTTTCAGTTGTTTAATTGTCCAACATTATTCATGAGTGGATGTGACAGGCCTGCAGAGCTTAGATCTGATCAGTTGCTTGTAGGATCACTTAACCTGACTATTACATACCTTTTCTACTGCTTGGTGTGCAAATAGTCCTATATTGGACCTTCACCAGACTGACACCTAATTTTTACATAAGCCTGGTGTTGCTTCTGATATGCCCTTCTGCACTCTTCTTTGAACCAGGGTTTATCTCCTGCAATGGTGGTAGATACGCTAGGCTGCAAAATTACAGGTTTTGCTTGAATACTGCAGCTACTGATGGCCCACAGCATCTCATAGATACCTAGTTTTAAGCTGCAAGACCTGTTCGACACCTGTCCCATTTAGCATGATCGTATTGCCACACAAGACGAAGATATCCTTAGCATGAACATGGGACTTCATTACAAGGACTACATGGTCATTTCCACTAATACCAACATTAATGGACACATACGTGAAAGATTATGTTGGTAAGAATAGGGTCAAGTATATTTTTACCTCTTGTTGGTTCCCTCATCATTTACTGCAGATCCAGTCTAGCACCTATGTACTTTAGCATTTGCTCAGCTCGATCAGTAGTTCTATTGTTGAGCAACTCTTGGTAATGGAAATAAAGTCTGCCCCAGATTACATCCTGTTCATCTGCCACAGTCACTGCTTCTCCCAATTGTTGTTCAGCATTGAGGATTCACTGGTTGGGGGGATATCAGGGGAGGGGGGTGTGCAGGTCTCAATAGGAGGTTTCCTTGCTCATGTTTACCATAATATTTTGAAAATTCATTTGTCAATGTTGAAGACCACCAGGGCAGTTTCCTGCTAGTTGTATACTGCTGTGGATCAGCTTTGGTAGATCTGCCCTGCTGGTGGGGACAGGACATAGCCAGATTATTGCAAATTATTGGCAAGGGCTCTGAGGGATAGGATTTATGATCACTTGGATAGGCACAGTTTGATTTGTGATAGTCAGCATGGATTTGTGAGGGGTAGATCATGCCTCACAAACCTTATTGAATTCTTTGAAGAGGTGACCAAACACGTGGATGTAGGTAGAGCAGTGGATGTGGTATACATGGATTTAAGTAAGGCGTTTGATAAGGTTCCCCATGGTAGGCTCATGCAGAAAGTAAGGAGGAATGGAATAGGGGGAAATGTGGCAGATTGGATTCAGAATTGGCTGACCCTTAGAAGACAAAGGGTGGTAGTGGACGGAACATATTCAATGTGGTGCTCAGTTACGAGTGGTGTACCACAAGGATTTGTTCTGGGTCCTCTTCTATTTGTGATTTTTGTAAATGATATGGATGTAGGAGTGGAAGGGTGGATTAGTAAGTTCGCGGACGATACAGTGTGTCGAGTTGTGGATAGTGCAGAGGGCTGTTCTAGGTTACAAAGAGACATTGATAGGATGCAGAGCTGGGCTGAGAAGTGGCAGATGAAGTTTAACCCTGAAAAGTGTGAGGTGATTCATTTTGGAAGGACAAACTTGAAAGCAGAACACAGGGTTAACGGAAAGAATCTTGGCAGTGTGGAGGAGCAGAGGGATCTTGGGGTTCATGTCCACAGTTCTCTGAAAGCTGCCACCCAGGTGGATAGAGTTGTTAAGAAGGCGTATGGTGTGTTAGCTTTCATTAATAGACGGACTGAGTTCAAGAGCCATGAAGTTATGCTCCAGCTATACAAAAGCCTGGTTCGGCCACATCTGGAGTATTGTGTCCAGTTCTGGTCGCCTCATTACAGGAAAGATGTGGAAGCATTGGAAAAGGTGCAGAGGAGATTTACCAGGATGTTGCCTGGAATGGAGGGAAGGTCTTATGAGCAAAGGTTGAGAGATCTAGGGCTTTTCTCTTTAGAACGACAAAGGATAAGAGACTTGATAAGAGGTGTACAAAACGATCAGAGGTATAGATGGAGTAGACAGCCAGAGACTTTTTCCTGGGGTGGAGCTATCTATTATGAGGGGGCATAGTTTTAAAGTGAGTGGAGGTAGCTATAGGGGAGACATCAGAGATAGGTTCTTTACTCAGAGAGTGGTAAGGGTGTGGAATGCATTGCTGGTGAGGGTAGTGGAGTCGGCCTCATTAGGGACATTTAAGGGCTATTAGATAGGCATATGGATGATAGTATAAGGTAGGGGTGGAGGTTAGATAGACCTTAGGATTAGGGTAAAAGTTCGGCACAACATCGTGGGCCGAAGGGCCTGTACTATTCTATGTTTTATGTTCTATAGCCAGAGATAGTGATGCAGGTATTGTACAATTCTATTTGTATGACTTTTTCAGGCTATTGCTTGACTAGTCTGTGCTATAGCTCTCCCACTTTTGGCACAAATTTCCAGATGTTGGTAAGGATGACATTGTACAGCTGACAAAACTGTATTTTTTATTGTCATTACCAGCTTAAGCTGACATCAGGCAGTCCATTCAGTTTAATTCCTATGTTTAGACTTTGTAGTGGTTTGACTGCATGGTTCAGAGGGCAATTAAAAGTCAAACACATTGCTATGAATCGGGGTAATGTAAGTCAAACTGAATAAAGTTGGCAAATTTTATTTCTTAAATGACATTAGTGCACAATCCATAGAGTTTTTAATGCAATCTATAGTAATTACATGGTCACCACCAGATTTTACTGAATTCAAATTTAACCAACTGCCCTGGTAGGATTCAAACCCATACTCTTGGGTTCTGGATGGATTACTGGTCCAGGGATACACGGTGCCACTGCTTCCCCTTGCATGAAGACCCACTCTGTTCAACACTTCCTTTTAGTTATAATCCCTCTAATTTTCTATACAACTTGACATCGGGCCCTTGCGGTGCAGTATCTGTATAATTGGGTCAGAAAGTCCGGTTCAAATCCCACTGCTCCGGAGGTGCGTCAAAACACATTGGAAGGTATTTTTCATCCACCTGTTCAGGGATGATATTATTAGATCTCTGGAACAGGTGGGACTCGAAGAACCCAGGAGTCCAATAGCATGATTGATCAAAAATAACTACAACCTGAGCAACTTGAATTTGACGTTGTTGTACAGTGTCTAGATGTTTTACGAGGTCCAGTAGCAAAAGTGCACATGGTTTGACCCGTTGAAAATACTGAAAACAAGGGTGCAGCTTTGTTGTTGAAGCTGCAGATGCTGGATGGACCTCTGCTGTGGGGAATTGAACTGCCAGCCGAGGCGGATTTGCAGTGACACAGAGGGCGGTTGTGAGGAAGGCGCTGTTTGTGTAGAGAGCCAGAGTCTTAGTGCAAGGGGATTCCCTCGGGAGTGCCAGCGGTAGAACACTGAGAATGTCGGGGATTCCTCCGGACACCTGGCAACCCAAGATTGTAACACTGGAGACCACGTAAGCGCGGGGACGGGGACACTGACTGCTTGGGAGCTGCTGCGCTGAGACCACTATGAATGAGCAAGGAAGGAACATGGCTTCTTCCTTTAAGCTGCAGCAGCTCCACATCACTTTACCAATATACAGGGTTTTGGGTGACTGTACAATGGTTTCACCGTTGTAAGGCACAGCTTTGCAATCTTCCCTTGTTTGAGGAGAATTTCCAGAATTTTTTTGAGTACTCATAAACAGCATCAGTATCCAGGAGTATATAATCACCTTAATTCCTTTAAATAGGTATTTTAAAAAAAAAACATCGTTGAGCGCAAAAGCTGAAACGTGGTGAGGGAAGTTTTTTTTTGTCTCACTCGTTCTTTGTAGTTATTCAGTCGACAATAAAGCATGAAAGTTTTTTTTAGAGCTTGAAAGGAAACACTTGCTTAACACGCGTCTTCGTTTCAAATTTTCAGTCATGTATCTCCTCCGGGTCAGAGGTATCAAATACAAAGTGAAATTAACATTAATTACAGTGCTGGTACTGGTGTGAAAACAAACAGTAGGTCTCTTTTTGCATGTCGTATATTTTAAATCAAAGAGAGAAATAAAAAATTTGCATAGCAAATACGTTTATGTTTAAAAGTTTTTTTTTAATATAGATTTATTTTCACAAAACTATTTTTACACAAAGTAGTTTATTTGGTTACTTCCAATCATAAAAGATAAAAGGCTGTAGCTGAATTTAGTTGAAATCGCATTAGTATGATGTTCTTGTGGTTGCTTATTAAAATAAATTATTAATTTTAAAACAGTATGGGAAACATATTGCTGGAATTGTATTGGAAGCATGCACCGAAAACCTGCAAGAACTTCGCTGAGCTGACTCGAAGGGGTTATTATAATGGTACAAAGTTCCATAGAGTCATCAGTGATTTTGTGATTCAGGGAGGAGATCCAACTGGGACAGGTAAGAATGGGGAAAAACAGAAGGTCATGCAAACATTTTACTCTTTTGGAGATTCTCGGTACTCAACACATTAATCCACACAATGAGCCTGACCTATGCTCCTAAACTTGCAAAAAGGTATCTAACATTAGATGTGATTCTGAAATGAGACAGCCTTTGCTCGATAATCCTGAATGTACTGATGTTGAAGTTACTCCAGTAGTCACCATGGGTGGCAGGGGTGGCTCGGTGGCTAGCACTGCTGTCTCAGTGCAGGGGACCCAGGTTTGATTCCAGTCTTGGCTGACTGTGTGGAGATTGCATATTTTCCCTGTGTCTGCATGCGTTTCCTCCAGATGCTCTGGTTTCCTCCCACAGGCCAAAGATGTGCGGGTTATGTGAATTGGCCATGGTAAATTGCCTTGTAGTGTCCAGGATCTGCAGGCTAGGTGGATTAGCCAGGGTAAATGTGGGGTTAATGGGATAGGATGGGGGTGCTGGATCTGGGTGGAATAGTCTTTGCAGGATCAGTGCAGAATTGGTAGTCTGAATAGCCTCCTTTTGCACTGTAAGGATTTTGTGACTCTCTGATCCAAATTGTATTTATACCTTAATCTGAGAAATATAGTTCTCCAGTTAAGGCTACCAACAAAACATCTCAAAAAGCAACCATGCTCCATTTTGATTCTGGCAGCTTATTGCAGAAGATTTCAAACTATACAATCATAAAGTGATAAAGCACAGTAAGAAGCCATTTGGCCCACTGTGCTTGGTCATTTCTGTGAAAGAGATGTACAATTACCCCCATTCTGCTCTCTTTTCTATTAGTTTTGCAAGTGTTCCAATTACCCAAAATTCAAGCCTGTTTTAAATTAATACTTATTTTTGCATAATGTTTAAAAGATTGTGACTTTTGTTTTGTAGTGAATATTCTAGAAATTGAAATCCATCTGACAGTCCCAGAATGTTTCAACTAATTGCTACTGCTTATTTATACAGGTAGAGGGGGCTCATCTATTTATGGAAAGCATTTTGAAGATGAATTGCACAAAGATTTAAAATTCACAGGTAAAGTCACTGATATTTTGAACTTGCAGTAAGTATTACGGTTTGATTTAGAAAATCCTACAGTAAGAGAAACAATATTTTTTCTGATTATTTAATAAATATTCTGTGTAAAGGTAACACATTACTGTATATTTTGTGCAATGTTACATCAGTGATTTGGAGTTAAAGGAAATTGGTGTCACTTGATGTTTTAAGTGGCCTTTCAGTTAATGCCACCGTAAAGGGCACAGTGATGTTTGTGTGCATGTTTTTTATACTGCTATTGTTCCGAAATATTTTTTGGAACTTAATCATATCGTGGGTAAAAGCTTAAAAAAGGTACTTAGATAGAAAAATGTTGTGTGAGCCTTACTCACCATGATTTCTGCTGTTTGTTAGTTTGTTTCCATCAAACTTCAACAATGACTTATATACTGAAAGCATAATGTCAAGTTTATTAGTTTAGAATCAGTGTAATAACATCACGATGTTCAACAATATATAATAGCAGTTAGTCTATTTAAGTATTATTACGCTAAATAGCATAAATAACAACTAACCAAAAGGAACTAATCTATTTTTAATAGTTGATCATTGAACAATGTTATTTGAACTTAACACAATATTTTGTTTTGAGAAAAGTTCGCATATAGTATAAACACAATTTTAAGCTTATTAAAACGTAGGGTAAAGTTGCTATAATCTTACCATAGCGTAGAGCTGCTGTCTTAGTAGAGAGACGACTCATGGTGGTTTACTTTGGGGATCACCACGCCTTGGGCAAAGGGGAGAGGTTGAGAAGGAGAATGCTTGAAATTACAGGAATTGAACCTATGCTGTTTGCATCCCACTGCATTGCAAACCAACCATCCAGCCAACTGAGCTAACTGACCACAGAGTGACAAAGCCAGAAAAATTCAGCCTGGTTTGCTTGTGTGTTTTGAAAATGTCAAGTATTCTTTAATTGGTTGCAATAGAAATGATTATATAACCCGACAAAGCTGCAACTTACTTCATCTAGTGCTAGTATGGCTAGAGTTTGACAATTAAGATGGTCATTATTTGGTTTCATCAGACTTAGCCTACATAGTTTTAAGTTTAACTGACAATACTTTTTGTGTGAAATAGCTCTTATATGTACACTTACTGTAAATTTTCAACATACAATGATACGAATTAGGTGCGGGATTAGACCATTTGATCCTTACGGCCTGCTGCAGTAGTGGAACCAAATATTTCTATTTAATAATTATTTATAATACAAAACCATAGACTTAGGAATCAACTATTTGTGTAACAACAAATTTGATTACAACTATTTTAATTGTATCTTCCGTTTCATTTCATAGGTGCAGGGATTCTTGCCATGGCAAATGCAGGCCCAGATACAAATGGCAGCCAGTTCTTCATAACTTTGGGACCCACACCACTGCTGGATGGAAAGCATACAATCTTTGGTCGTGTGTACCATGGGTTGTCAGTAACTAAGCGTATTGCACTAGTGGAGACTAATCGTGATGACCGGCCTACAGATGATGTAATCATTTTGAAAGCCACAATATCACATTAACGGTAGCTGAAGTTATGCTATTCATTTAATGATTTAGAATAATTCCGAGGTAGTGGTGTTTTGTATTTCCATAACCTTACTGATTACAAATCTTGTGAATTTGTAACGACAGGATCAATTGCAACACACCTGACTTCACCATGAAGTTTAACTTCACCCTGTTGCTGTTGGTAATCATCCCAAGTCATTTCTTATGGGTGCCTTGTAACAAATATTGCCTACACCTTGTAAAGCAATACATGAAAATGTGAAATTGAGCAGAAATACCATAATCCAATTTGTGTAAAATTTATTACACAGAGAACATTTCAATGTTTTTATATAAACAAAATGCTACCACAACATTGGCACGTGGAAGACAGATACAGGATCCTGATGGTGGCATAATCTTTGTATTCCCACTGTGGATCCAGTGTAAACTAAATGCATCATCTTACCTGAAACATTGGGGTCCTTTGCGCTTTTTCTTGGAAGAACATTATTGAGAATGAGTGATCATATAGTTATGCTCATGCCTTTTAACTCCCTATCTTCTTTCAAAATGTTTCTTTCTGAAGGGATTTGTTCATATTTTGTTTTCACTCCACCTGGCAACTGAGACATGGAGATTCTGTTTGTTTCATTTTTAAAAAAATTTCTAATTTAGGTAAATTGTTCTTATACTTTTATGTTTGTCTTGGAGGTATAATCGTGGCTGGGTGTAACAAAAAAGTTCAGTTTACATAAGTGCATAGGACTTGTTCTGAGATCTAAGATGTACTCTGGTAGCAGAGATCAGGAAGTTTTACTTCAAAGTAAAGTAGAGTATACAGCAGACTCTATAAATGAAAACAAAAAGAAGATTTTGATAATTAATTGGGGAGGAATTGGGGGAAAAAGTGCAAAACTAACTTATGTTGGCAGGCATAGATGTGCTATTTGCTTACTGGATTGCTTTTGGCACTTATCAGCCAGTCTTAATCTTACCAATTTTTACTGATTTCATCTGAATGCTCAATCCTAACATTTTTATCTTTGGCCTGGAGACCAGATATGCCTGTTCTTCTGTCTACTTGAGCACAGTAGACACCTCCAGTTGTCAGAAGCAGATACGTTTTCTCTTAAATGCTAGCCAAGTCAACATTCAATAGCATTGAACACACGATGGATAGATCAAATGCACAGTGCTTTTACTAAATTATTATTGTCAGTGTTAAGACAAGACCATGACTATTATAGGTGTGAAATCCCACCTTCTACTCAACATTTTTGTTTAATTAAAGAAGATTTCCCACAGTATTTTCTTTTCAGCAAATGTGTACATAGATAATGGTTATGTTAACAGGAAAGAATACTTGAGAGGCAAAATACTGCACCTGCTGGAAATAGAAATATAAACACAAAATGCTGAAAATACTCAGCAGATGTGGCAGTATCTGTGGTGGGAAAAACAAACTAATTTTTGAGATCTGTCTCTCATCATGAAAACTCTAGCCTAATACTTACCAGCTAACAAAATCCACTCTCTTTGTTATAATAGTTTTCAATTTGGATAGATTTTTTTTCCCTCTTTGCCTTCACCAGAACAAATTGAGCTATTTGAGTCTTTCACCTAGATTTTCTGATTGAAACCACTTTCCTGCCAAATGTCCAGAGATACGCAGCCAAATTTCTGGTCTCAGGTCAGTGATGTGTTAAAGGCAAGGCCTCCACTCTTCACCAGTGAGTTGAACTGAACAGAATCAGAACTTTCAAAGGCAGATTTTGGAAGAAGACAACTTTCAAGCCAGCTGTAAAAAATTAGAAATACTTTAATTCTGACTTCTGTTTCTAGATCCTATGCACAGAGGTGTTGAAAATATTTAGGTAGGCCTGTTCTGAAGAAACGTTATTGAGGCTCCCTCTGTCAACCTTTCAGTGTTGAAAATAGGGCATAATCTGTACCGCTACCATTTAACATTCAAAAAGGATACATGGAAGAAACTACAGAAGATGCTGTGCTCCCTTATTGTAATCTGATTAGCATGTGGAAGGGAACTGTCTGCCAAGCCTTTGTGTTGAAGTCCAAAAAGCATTTGCCTTGTCTTTGAAAGCATACAGTGTATCCATTTCTTCATTCAGTGATGACTGGTTGGAATAGTCTCAAATACATTAAAGTTTCAGTGATAACAACAAAAACTAATTCAGTTTGGTTTTGTACTGGCACATCCTATACATATCAGTGTGAACATGTTTTCATTGATGAGTTAATTAAGAAACCAGAAGGTTCTGTTTATCTAGCCACTGTACTCACGAATAGGCCTGTTTTCTATTTGTAGCTTAATTTCTGTTCATTTACCAATGCTGAACATTATGTACTCCTCATGCGTCTCATTAATTATCTCTAAGTGCTGTAGACTGATTCTTGTTTAGAGCGTCTGTCTTACACAGCTTGATATAACTGGAAGGTCTAAGTTCAGTAAGTCTTCAGCATGGTTGCTGATTATATTCAATAAGATTCCAGAAGTGAACTCAATTTGAACCTTGTCCTGCTTTTGTTACTTGAACCTACAGACAACTTGATAAGGGTCTTGTGGCACACTGGTAATGTCACTGTGTCATGGCCAGAAAGCCTGCATTCATTGTCTCACCTGCTGCAGAGGTGTGTGTCATAACATGTCTGGACAGGTTGATTAAAAATATCTACAAGTTGATAAAAACAGATTTCCTGACTCTCTTTTAAAACAACAATTTTACACCAATTCTGCAGTAAAACTGTATGCAATGATTTATTCAGCATAAAACTGAGTTCCAAAAGGTATTGAATCTTGCTACGCTTTTAATTGCCATCCCAATTCTTGTACTAACTTGGAATTTAGAAATTAATACCTGGTGCACACATAACACCTTTGAAATATCATACTACATAAGAGCTGTGCCCACAATTCATTCCCTTCCATGTAAGAAGAAAGTACGAGGAAAGATTGGGAGTGAAGCCCAAGTCATGTTTTTACCAGTCTGTTGAGTTGAAAATTGTTCACAAAATAAATTATGACCTTTTGTAGCTGTCAGCACAGGGATGTTGAGTTTGAAAGAGAAACTTGACATTTTGTCACAAAAGTGCAAGTTAACAATTTCAAAGTAATACTTTTCCATTAAATTATCATATTGAGCTTTGCTGGGATACTCCCAGATAAAAGTAGCGAGTCAATGTGAATCAGAGAGGGCAGCAACAAGAAAAGTGAGGAGCAGTATCACAAGGCAACAGATTGGTGATTAGTTGTTTGGAGAAGTTTTGAATAGCTGTAGAGTGGAGTGACTGAGCAACAACAAACAAAGTTAACATAAATGCAAAATATTGTCAGCAGGAGAGTGGATCCAGTTGGTGAGATTTTCTTTTATAAACCTTTGGTTTATTTTTGTTAAGATAAGTTAGTGTAATAAATACAGACATGACTTTCTCAGTCTTTTCTTTCCAGGATGGAGATATCAATGGCTGGGCTAGCATTTTTGCAAAGCTCTAATTGCCTTCGAGAAAACATTGATTCTCAGTCTTGTGGAGAGCTGCAATATGGCAACTTTGGATAATCACAAGTGTGGGAGGTGTCATCAGCTGGAACAGCTCAAACTCTGAGTTTCAGAGCTTCAGCAGAAGCTGTTGTCACTTCAGTATTTCTGTGAAGAGCTTGGATAGCATGTTTCTGTATGCGGTCACCCTGCCTTATTAAAGTGCTGGTAGACAGGGAATGCGTGACGTTAAGGCAATGCAGGAGGATCAAGCAAGTATTGCAGGAGTCCTGAGTACTTCATACTCAGTAATCAGTCATGTTGTGAATACTGGTGAGACTGACAATTCATCAAATGAATCTATGGCTGGCTCACCTGTACAAGAGGACAGGAGGAAGTTTGGAAGAAAGTAGAAGAATCTGTGATTAGATAACCAACAAGCATATTACAGTTGCAGAAGTGAATCTAGGATGGTATGTTGTGGTGCAAGGGACAAGAATGTCACTGACCTGTTACAGAGTATCCTGAGTGGGGAGAGTGACAGGCCAGCAGCTGTGGTCCGTATTGGTACAATGAGGGAAGAGGGATAATGCCTTGTTGGATTTTTGTGAACTAGGAAAGGAACAAGCAAGAAAGACCACTAAGTTATTAATCTCTGGATTATTTCCCATACAACATATATTGAACAAACTGTCAGAGGAAGTGGTACAGCCGAGTACAAGTACATTGTTTAAAAGAATTTGGACAGGTACATGGGTAGGAAAGGTTTAGAAAGATGTGGGCCAAATGCAGGCAAATGGGACTAGTTCAGTTTGGGAAAGCTGGTTGGCATGGACCAGTCGGACCAAAGGGTCTATTTCTGTGCTGTAAACCTCCAAGACTCTATAAATAGAAGGATAGAAATGATGAATGCATGCCTGCACAACAACAGGAAGAATACCAAGTGCAGACTTTCCATGTGAAGTTCCAGGCCCTTAACCACAGAGAGGATCCACATTGGTGAAGATTGGCACTTTGATTCAGGTGAGGAACACTGGTTTCTCTAAGAGTGGATATGGGCCTCACTAGTGGAGCCAAGACCAGAGAAGCAGCAGGAACCCTGACAAACCCTGAAGGTATTTCATGTAAAAATAAAGAACTGGTTGTACATATTTCCCCACTGGCAATAAATCTGTAGTGAGCACTTTGACCTGAATGCTGATGAAGCACATGACTACTGCTGCCTAAAATCTATTCTGATTTCATGCCACTCATATTTTTTTCAATTTTGGGCTCTAGGGAGTAAATGACCAATGTAGCATTTCAACCATATTTCTCTATTTTTGATAACTTCTTGACTAGCCATGACTTTTATTATCTTTAATCCTTTCTTATATGCCCACACATCAAATATTTATGTCTTAAAATTGGGCTTTATGGATAGGAGTCATTTTTCTAGTGTAGCAATAACATAGAATTCTTTATTTTTCAGAGAAATCCAGTTTGTGAGACAGCCTTAGCTTAGTTGGAATATAAAAAAAGTTTAAGATGAAAGATGGAGAAGGGAAAATCAGCTAGAGTTTCTGCATCTGATTGTGATTTAGTAATGTCCATTGAGAATGCCTTCTATCTTGTTCTAGAATCATAATGTCATGCAGCGTAGAAATAGACTCTCCGGCCCATCATGTCTATGCCAACCAACAAACACCAAATTACAACAATTGCATTTACCTACACTTATGGCCTACTATGTGCTGGCATTTTATGTATTTATCTAGATGCTTATTAAATGTTGCACGAGTAACTACCTCAACCACTGTCTCAGGTAGCACATTCCATATATCTACTCCCCTTTGGCTGAAGAAATTTTCCTCAGACCTCCTCTGAGCCACTTGTTCCTCACCTAAACTTATGCCTTCTAGTCTTGGACACGTCCTCCTGGGGAAGAGATTTTCACAATCTACTCTGCCTATTCATCTTAAAATTTTGTTTACCTCAATCAGATCTCTCCCCAACCTCCTCTGGTCCAAGGAAAACAAATCTAGCCTATCCAGCCTCTCCTTATAACTGAAACTTTTCATCCTAGGCAACATATTGGTGAATCTCCTCTGCACCCTCCAGTGCGATCACATCCTTTCAATAGTGTGGCAACCAGAACAGCACACAGTGTTCCATCTTTGGCCTAACCAATGTTTTATGAAGTTGTATCAAGATTTTCTTGCTCCTATATTCTACGCCCTGACTAATGAAAGCAAGCATCACATATGCCTTCTTCAGCACTCTGTCTACCTGTGCTGACAGTTTGAGGGAGTTATGGACATGTACAGCAAGATCCCTTTGCTCCTCAGTATACCCTACCATACATACAGCCTGATTAATATCTGACTGTAGCTTGAGACCATATTCTTCACGATCAACAAGACCACAAATTTTCGTGTCATCTGCAAACTTCCAAATTATACCTTCTATATTCACATCCAAGTCGTTAATATACATAACAAACAGCAAGGGTCCCAGTACCAATCCCTGTACTACACTGCAGGTCACAGACTTCCAATCACAAAACCACCCTTTAGCATTGCCCTTTGCCTCCTATTTTTAAGACAATTGTGATCCAGTTTGCCAGCTTGCTTTGGTTCCTATGAATTGTAGCCTTTTGGACCAATCCTCCATCTGGGACCTTGTCAAAGGCTTTACTAAAGTCCATATAAATCACATCAACTGCACAACCCTCATCAACATATTCATCAATATGTATTTCACTGATTCAGTGAAAAGTGCAAGAAGGCATGCCAGATGCAGCTCCAGCCATACCGAAAATTGAGTTGTCAACCAGGTGAAGCTACAAACAGAACCATCGGTGTGCCAATTATCTTTTCAAAAAACTCAATTAAATTAATCAGACAGGGTCTCCCTCTAACAAATCTATGCTGACTTTCCCTGATAAATCCCTGCCTTTGCAAGTATTTGATTATTCTGTACTCAGAAATTTTTCGAATACTTTCCCTACCACTAACATTGGTCTATAATTACCTGGCCTACCCTTGCTGCCCTTCTTGAACAAAGGAACCACATTAGCGATCCTCCTTTCTTCTGGCACTTTACCTGTCGTCTGTGAAGTATTAAATATAAAGTATTAAATATCCACCAGGCCCTGGTAACCTCCTCCCTTGTCTCCCATAGCACTCTGGGATTCATCTCATTAGGCCCCAGGGATTTATGCAACTGGATGCCCGCTAAAATATATAATAACATATTTTTGCACTTCACCATTCCAACTTAAATCCCCAGCTACAATGTCTTTCTCCTTTGTGAATATCGATGAGAAGGATTTATTTAAGATCTCACCCATGTCCACTGGCTCTGGCACAAATTGACCCTTTCATTTCTTTAGTGCCATTCTTTTCCTGGTAATCCTGTTACTCTTAATATACTTGTAAAAAGCCTTGGGGTTTTCCTTGATCCTATTTACCAAAGATTTTTTGTGGCCCCTCTTTGCCTAACTAATTTCCTTTTTAAACAACCTTCCTACACCCTCTAAACTTTTGAAGGATGTCCCCTGTTTTGTACCTGACAAATACATTCTTCTTCTTCTTCTTTATCAAACTCTCACTATCACTTGACATCCACAGTTCCCTGGCCTTGCTGCCCTTGCCCTTAGGAGGAACACACTGGCCCTGAGTTCCTTCCGTGCTACTTTTAAAAGACTCCCA